CTTCAAAAAGCGGTACGCGATCTTTCACGATCTGAAAAATCATTTTTGTCGAGCCTGCGACTTTTGTCGCAGAAAGCTCGACATAGGGATAGTGATCCGGCGGCGGCTACGGCGGCGGCGGTGTTAGCTAATTTCTTAAAATCTTTATATTTTAGAAGGTGGAAGACCTGGATGCTTCATACTTTGTATATTAATGCCTTATGTTACGAAGGTTCTGTCTGTCACATGTCCATTGTCCTTGACCTCATTTTCATGGTTCAGTGACAACTTGAAAAAAAAGTTAAGATTTTTTGTAATGTTAATTTCTCTCTTATTATGAGTAATAGGATAACTATATTTGGTATGTGCATACCTTGCAATTCCTCATGCCCGTCAGACAGTTTTCACTTGACCTCGACCTCGTTTCATGGATCAGTGAACAAGGTTAAGTTTTGGAGGTCAAGTCCATATCTCAGATACTAGAAGCAATAGGTCTAGCATATTGGGTGTATGGAAGGACTGTAAGGTGTACATGTCCAACTGGCAGGTGTCATCTGACCTTGACCTCATTTTCATGGTTCAGTGGTTATAGTTATGTTTTTGTGTTTTGGTCTGTTTTTCTTATACTGTATGCAATAGGTCTACTATATTTGGTGTATGGAATGATTGTATGGTGTACATGTCTAGCTGGCATGTGTCTTCTGACCTTGACCAAATTGTCATGGTTCAGTGGTTAAAGTTAAGTTTTTGAGTTTTGGTCTTTTTTTCTAATACTATATGCAATAGGTCATCTATATTTGGTGTATGGAAATATTTTATGATGTACATGTCAGTCTTGCAGGTTTGATTTGACCTTGACCTCATTTTCACGGTTCATTGCTCAGTGTTAAGTTTTTGTGTTTTGGTCTGTTTTTCTAATACTATAAGCAATAGGTCAACTATATTTGTTGTATGGAAGGATTGCAAGCTGTACATGTCTGCCTGTCATGTTTCATCTGACCTTGACCTCATTTTCATGGTTCATTGGTCAATGTTTAGTTTTCTTGGTTAAATCTGTATCTTAGAAACTATAAACAATAGGTCAACTATATTTATTGTATTGAATGATTGTAAGGTGTACATGTATTTCTTGTTTGGTTTATATGACCTTGACCTCGTTTTCTTGGATCATATCAAGTGTATGTGATAGTTGTAGTAAAGCTTTATATTTAGGACTATCAACATAATATTAATGATTAGTAAAGAAGGCGAGACATTTCAGCGTGTGCACTCTTGTTTTGAAAATATTTCATTTTTTGCAAAATTTCTGATTATTCTAACACAAATTAACTTTAAGAACCATTTGAATCATTTAAATGGAATGACATTTTACTAAGAAAAGTTGTTTAGTCATTCGAATTATGAAAAATATCTTGTTTGTTTACATATTTAATGTCATTTAAATGTCGAGGAGCAATTTGCCTTTTGTAGTTTGGTAAAAACGACTTACTTTTAAACCTTGATTTTTCTCAGATACTGATCATAATGTTGAACCATCTTGACGACAGACTTTATTTTTTTGTAAATTTTCGTATAATTCATTAAATTAGATTATATGAACGATTAACAAAATATTTCAAGTATACTTTCCATAATACACAACGGTCAAAGCGACTTCAGAAAAATTATTCAACAACAGATAACATATTTATATTACAATGTCTTTTCGATTTTCGACTAGCCAGATCTCAAAAGAAAAAGTTTTTATTTATTTCGCCGGTCGACACAGTGTGGAGAAACGCTCTATGGTTTAAGATGGCTTTGAATCATATGGATGAAACAATGCATAAGTTCATACACAGTATGCACAACAATATAAAACCACGAGATATATATAATAACCAAAAGTAAGACCCCCCGTGTAACACCTGAGTAAGACCCCCTCCCCCCGTGTAACACCTGAGTAAGACCCCCCTCCCCCCGTGTAACACCTGAGTAAGACCCCCACCTCCCCCGTGTAACACCTGAGTAAGACCCCTCCCCCCGTGTAACACCTGAGTAAGACCCCCCTCCCCCGTGTAACACCTGAGTAAGACCTCCCACCGTGTAACACCTGAGTAAGACCCCCCTTCCCCGTGTAACACCTGAGTAAGACCCCCACCTCCCCCCGTGTAACACCTGAGTAAGATCCCCCCTCCCCCCGTGTAACACCTGAGTAAGACCCCCCCCGTGTAATACATGAGGAAGACAAAATGAATATCTTATTCTTTCCCCTCTATTATTCTCTTTATAATTATATTAATGTACTCACATTTTATCTTGGAATGTGAATGATTTGTTATCGATATCAAATTGCCTTGAAAATTATCTTTATGTATATATTTGAAGTTGCTCATCCTATTATATTCCGATGACACTGTCCCAATGTCAGAAATACGAGGAGACCTTCAAATGCAAATGAACTGCGTCAGTGAATATTGTAATACACGGAAACTTAAAGTGAATTGTAACGTATATTGGTATGACGTTGGCGTCGTCGTCGTCGTCGACGACGTCCGAAGACACATTGGTTTTCGCACTCTAACTTTAGTTTAAGTGAATGGATCTCTATGAAATTTTACCATAAGGTTCAATACCACAAAAGGAAGGTTGGGATTGATTTTGGGGGTTATGGTACCAACAGTTAAGGAATTGGGGGCCAAAAAGGGACCAAAAATAAGCATTTTTGTAACTTCCAGACATAACTTGTGTGTTAGTGTATGGATCTCGCTGACATTGTACCACAAGGATCCATATCACAAAGGGAATGCTGGGATTGATTTTGTGGGTAATTGTCTCAAAATTTTAGGAATTAGGGGCAAAAAAGGGGCAAAAAACAAGCATTTTTCTAGTTTCATGACAATAACTTGTGTTTAAGTGTATGGATCTTTCTGAAATTGTACTACAAGGTTCCATATCACAAAGGGAAAGCTGGAATTGAGTTTGGGGGTAAATACCCAAAACGTTTAGGAAAAAGGGGCCTAAAAGGGGCAAAAAATAAGCATTTTTCTAGTTTCCAGACAATTTCTTGTGTTTAAGTGTATGGATATCTCTGAAATTGTGCTGCAAGGTACCATACCACAAAGGGAAGGCTGGGATTGATTTTGGGGGTAATTGCCTCAAAATTTTAGGAATTAGGGGCAAAAAAGGGGCAAAAAAAAAGCAGTTTTCTAGTTTCAGGACAATAACTTGTTGTAAGTGTATGGAATTTTATGAAATTGTACTACAAGGTTCCATATCACAAAGGGAAAGCTGGGTTTGAGGGTGGGGGTAATTGCCCTAAACGTTTAGGAATTTGGGGCCAAAAAGGGGCAAAAAAACAAGCATTTTTCTAGTTTCCAGACAATAACTTGTGTTCAAGTGTATGGATTTCTCTAAAATTGTACTGCAAGGTACCATACCACAAAGGGAAGGCTGGGATTGAGTTTGGGGGTGATGAATCATAAGGGGGTTCAAAAAATTGAGGGGGGATTTCTTTTTTCTTTTTTTCCTTTTTTTTTCCCTTTTTTTTTTTTTAATTTTTCCATTTTAAATTGGTTATTTCTGATTTATATATAAATGCAAATAATAATGATATGGTTTGAATTGGTAAATTAAAAATTTTTAAGTTCTTAGACCACATTCATTCTATGTCAGAAACTTATGATGTGTCAAATTTTTAATCACAATCCAAATTCAGTGCTGTATCAAGCTTGAATGTTATGTCCATACTTGCCCCAACTGTTCAGGGTTCGACCTCTGCGGTCGTATCAAGCTGCGCCCAGCGGAGCATTTTATTTAATTTTCTCAAAAGAAGACATTTGGTTTCCGGACAATAACTTTAGTATAAGTAAATAGAAATCTATAAAATTTAAACACAAGGTGTATAACCACAAAAGGAAGGTTGGGATTGATTTTGGGGGTTATGGTTCTAACGTTTAGGAATGAGGGGCCAAAAAAGGGCCCAAATAAGCATTTTTCTGGTTTCCAGACAATAACTTGTGGAACGGTGTATGAATCTCTCTGAAATTATACCACAAGTTTCCATACCACTAAGGGATGATTAGGATTGACTTTGGGGGGTTATGGCTCAAACCGTTTAGGAATTAGGAGCAAATAAGGGGGAAAACTAAGGTTTCTTGGTTCATGGACAATTTACAAGCAGTGTAAGGGAGGTGATCCAAACACATTTAAAGTACAATGTTGTTTATGTTTGGATTATCTCCCTTACACTGCTTTAAAATTATGTATAAAGAAATTTTGTATTGTCTTGAGGTGATTAGCTGTCAATTTATTCTTAGAAGTTACTATTAAAGGAATATTAATTTTAGCAATGATTATGTATGTCATTTCTATTTTAAGACTTTTATGATGTATTTAAATTGGTAATTATGGTTGCAAACTCCATTGGAAATTTGAATTGAGATTATCATATCTTGAGGGAAAGAATTTTTTTTTTGGAAAAAAGGGCGGATGTGAAAAAAAATTTAGGGGGGTAAAAAAAAGAAATTGTGGGGGGCAATTTTTTTTTCATTTCAGATTTCAGAAATTTAAAAAAAAATCTTCAAGTATTATTTTTTTTGCCAAAAAAATGGGCGGGGTTTAAAATTATTATTTTTTTTTGGGGGGGGGGGGGGTGGGCAATACGCAACAGCATAGTGTATTTCACAAAAGCAAAAAAAAGGGGGGGGTAAATTTTTTTTGGTTTTTGTAGGGGGGGGTCAATTCGTAACAGCATAGTGTATTGCATAAAAGCAAAAAATTAAATATAAATTCAAATCATATAACCAATTCTAAGTTCTTTGACTACAGCTATTCGGTGTCAGAAACCTATTATGTGTCAAATATTTAATTACAATCCAAATTCACACCTGTATCAAGCGCGAATATTGTGTCCATTTTTGCCCCAACTGTTCAGGGTTGGACCTCTGCGGTCGTATACAGCTGCGCTCAGCGAAGCATTTTATAACGCTTTTGGTGAAAATATTTGTTTCAATTATATTTTATAATTTACTTTATTGCAGTGTTTATTGGATTGTTACAATGGTGAAGAATTCTGCATCGTATAAACCAAAGTAATGGTTAAAACAAGAGTATGCATCACCTTTGTCGCTGTTATGATAGTTTTCTTTGTGTTAACAATGTTTTTATATCGTTTCTTGAACCGAGTTTCTAAAATGTCTTCTGATGGAAAGATCTATATTCCGATGAACCCACAAATGTTTATAAAACAGGACAAATCCCAAAAAGATTACAGTAAAGAAATAAATCAACTTAATCGAGAACAAGTAAGCATGGACGACCCGAGGCTTATAAAATTAATTCGTAATCACTGGATTGAAAATCCATCAGATGCAGAATATAACCTTCAATTCCCGGATTTGCTGGATCCATCTGCAGGACAGGCTCCTTTCGTAGATAACAGAATGAGTTTCAAGGTTTGTGCACTAATTTTGTTTGATATATAAAAAGAAGTACTCAACTGTAAGGATTAATTTGAATAAAAAATGCCAATAAATTGTCTCGGAGATGATAAAAATTTAATGAGAGAGAAAAACATACACTCCTAGTGACAGCTTCGACAGACCTGCATGCATACAAGTGAGTATTTTGGTACTTACACTAGGATAGATCACTTTCCCCTGAAAAGTGCTAATACGAGGTCAATCTTTAAGGGAACCTTATTTTTGAAACCTTTTATTTCTTGTATACAACAAAGTGAAATCATTAACTTAGTCTATATAAAAATAACGAGATGTGGTATGATTGCCAAGTTCAAATGCACTGGATGTAAACAATCATAGGCAACCGTACGGCCTTCAAAAATGAGAAAAAAAACCCATACCGTATAGTCGTCTATAAAAGTAACATGAAATGAAATATATGAAACAATTAAATTCAGAAAACTAACGGCCTTATGTATGACCAAACAATTTACGAAAAACAAAAATGACAGACATGAACCAACGACAACCACTGAACTACAGGCTTCTGACTTGGGACAGGCACAAAAAGAATGTGAGCGCTCAACCCTTCCCCTAACCTGCGACAGAGGTGTTAAGCACAACATAAGAACAAACTATAAAAAATAGTTGAAAAGTGCTCAACTCATCAGATCGATACAAAAAAGAAAAACATCTTACAAAAAAAAAAAAAAAAAAAACCACACAGACCGGACGTGGCATATGTTTAGGGAGTTTATTACAATATTTTGAAAACTTAACAGAAAAAAATGTGAAAAAGCGCTAATACTGGAAAACAGGAATCGCCACGTAAAATCTTTATATTTAGACACGATGACTTATCCCTACTAGCGAACGTAAGAAGAACAACTTATAGTGCAGAAATTTATTTACTGAGTTTGAAATACCATCACCAAAGAAAGTCAGCTTTATCTGAGACTACTATAACACAGATTATGAAGTGTGTTAATCTGGACTTGTACCGGCCGGAAGTGAAACCCATGAAGAAAGGGTCTACGTTTAGCTTTGTGTAACTTTTGACAAAGTTTTCCGAAGGAATAGATATAGGAAGATGTGGTATGAGTGCCAATGAGACAACTCTCCATCCAAGTTACAATTTATAAAAGTAAACCATTGTAGGTCAAGGTACGAAGTCTGGTTATTGATTTTGGCCGCTATAGGGCGGGAGTTTGGGAAGGTGGGCGGGCAACTTATGAACCGTTCAACCAGTGCTTCTCAATTTTTATTGTTGAAGAATGTTGTTACTGATGACAAAATAGAAGTCAAATTCGATACTGACGATTTTCACATGAAATTTTCATGAGTTATGGTTTTTGATTGATTGGAAAATGGCTCTTTATGTCGTTTCCATGCAATAAGTTATGAATCGTTCAACCAATGCTTTCAGAGTCAATTTCAATATAGTGTTACTGATGACGAAATAGAGGTCAGGTTCAATATTGCATTAACCGTTCAGGAGTTATTGTCCTTGAATGTTTAGAAAAAAAAACACTGAGTTTATATCGCTTCCTTGGAGGAATTTGAGAACCGTTCAGCTAATTCTTTTCAAATTTCAATACGTTTTTACTGGTGACCAAAATGGAGGTCATTGACGATTTTCAATTTAGCCGCTCACAAGTTACGACTCTTCATTCCTTTACACGTATAAATGTAATGAAATCCGATTTGTTGTTATTTTGACGGCCTCGTGTTGCATATCCATACAGCTAGTAGGAGTCCTGTTGAAACTTTATAGAAAGGCAAATTATTTACCCTCTAATCAAAACGCCGAATTTTTTCTGTATCCTTCCATACGTTGTATACATGTAACACGTGACATGTAATTACTACCGGTCTATATATCACAGGGAATGTAAATAGTTGTAGGCTAACAGTTGTAAAATGTGATTGAAATCTCAAAATGTACCCTTGCAACATCCTGTCAATATCGGAAATTCAGTGCTGTATATTGCATTTTTCAGATGTTTGGTATGCATGACAAGAAAAAAAAGTGTATTTCAGACTGTAGATCTTCGTGATTGATGCAATAAGTTATACACACACACATAATATTGGTTGAGACTTTTTTTAAACATTTCAGGAAAGAGGGTTTTACGTTGAATGTGGTGCTTTAGATGGCGAAACTAGGTCGAACACTTTGATGTTAGAACGTTTACGGAAATGGAACGGACTGCTGATAGAAGCCGATCCATCCAATTATAAAAAATTGAAGGAAAAACACAGAAAAGCATTTAGCATCAACGCCTGTCTAAGTATATACCCCTTTCCGGTTATAGTAAGTTCAAGAGATAAGTTGTATCCGCAGATCGTTTTTTTTTCCAATTTTCATTCAGTCAAAATATCAGCAAGATATTCGGGAGAATATCTTTTTTTCATTTGTCTCAATTGGTGATGTAAGCTATTGTCATCATTTGGCGTCGGTGGTTGAAAAAATTTTCATAAACCTTCTCCTCTGAAACTACCAATCAAATCAGACTTTGTCTGGATGATCCTAAAAAAATATCGATCAACTAAACAACATTTATTACTAATTTTTTTATCATAACAAAACTTGCTTAATATTTGTATGCTAGGGCCCGTATGCATAAAGCTACTTAAGTTAAGATTTGTTCCGAACGGACGGATTTCTCTACATGTCCTACGATAAATTAGTATTACGATTGGATATCTTAACTTAAGTATCTTTATGCATACGGGCCTAGATTTTTAATGATAATATCAAAAATGTAAATGTAATATTTATTAAGTTTTAGTAATGATCGATACTTAATTGATGAATATCATTATATTCTGTACAGAAATTCAAACATTTTTAACATATTTGTTAATATGATTAAGGGGTATAAGTGTCCTATTTTTTTAAAATGCCTTCTTTGAAATTAACACGTTTTGTATATTTTTGTTTTGTATTGCAGATGCAGTTTAAGCAGCGATTTAATCAAGGTAAACTGATAGAAAATGAAAGGGATCGTGGTGGGAAAAAAGGTACCATCATAGAGGTCCAGTGCTTCCCTTTATACTCTATACTGTTAGCTATTAATGTCACTCGTATAAACTTCTTTAGCCTGGACGTAGAAGGAGATGAACTCAAAGTTCTAAAAACATTGCCTTTTGATCAAGTTGACATAGAAATGATGACTGTTGAGTATAAACACATTGACCTAGGCGAAGATTATCTTAAAAATTATGTAGAAAATAAAGGATATGATTCTTTGGTCAAAATAGGACATTATAGGCAGTGGGCTAATGATATTATTTTTAAAAGGAGAAAAACGTAATTTCAGATAGTACTGTGGATTCGTTATTATTGTTGGTAACCAATTTTCATTGATTTCATGGGAATAGGCGAATGTTCAACAAATTATAAATTTCCTTTAGGTTTTCGTGCTAACTTTGGGCAAAACCACGTAATCAAGTATCAACAAAAATGCTTTTTTCTTCAATCCACGAAAATTGGTAACCACGAAAATAAAGGAATTCACAGTATTAACTTCTTTGGTTTGTTGTTAGTTGTTAATCCACCAAAGGTGTTCAAAAAAACCAGTTTGTTAGGTGTTATTCCACCAAAGGTGTTCAGACAACCAGTTTCTTGTCTTCCATGGAGTAGGAAATGTTTAAATTTTGTTGAACTTTTGATGTAAAGAGAGTCTATACGTAGTGAAAGTTTTCATGCAGGATACAATTTTCCCAACGAATATTTGTTTTGTGAGTACTTAATCCATATATTTGTGTAAGTTTTAAACAACCTTTCATGCACTGCAAACATTCATTGAAATTTGATTCTATAAGTCAAACATAAAAATATATTAAAAAATATTACAAGAACATTTTTTAAACATATGCAACATATCAGACATCCTTTTTTACGATTGACTACCTTGAACAGTCAGAAATAAACGACCCCTTACCTCCCCCCTAAAGAAAATAAAATAAATTGTCAGTAACAAAGTGAGCATACCCTCATGTCCAGTAATTTCGTTAATCCGATAATCTTTTCATTTCAATAACATAACGTTAAATGAACGGGGTTACCAGAAGAAAGAAATTCACAGCCAACATCGTATTTGATTGAAATAAGTAAAAGTAAAAGTAAAATTGGGCCAATATAAAAAAATCATTAATTGAAAAAAATGTTAAAAAATATATCACGATGAAAAACATTTTACCATTAACTGTTAAGCCAGTTATATTATGAAAAATGATACAAATAATAACAAAAATGTTTTGAATGATGAGATTTACCTATTGTCTATTTACTTCAAAACTGTCAAATTACTTTTTATAGTTGCTGCCCTTAAATTTTACTAATTTTTAAAAAATTTTGCCTATTATCCTGAAAATTATAACAGATAGGTTGAAACTTTAAATGGCAAAATTATCATCAAGACAAAATCTACAAATAAGTCAGCATGGTCAAAATCGTCAGACAACTCCTTATTGGAGTTATTTCCCTTTAATTAATTATCAGTTAATTGTGTGTGCCTAATATCTGGAAAACTATAATAGATAGATAGAAACAGTTAACTTATATAAGCAAAAATGATCAGCATGACAACATCTACAAATACGTTAGGCATGGTTGAAATCGTCTGATGACCCGTTGTTGGAGTTGTTGCCCTTTAATGATAATTTTACCAATATTTTGTGTTTTTGTCTAATATCTGAAAAACTATAATAGATAGATCAATACTTTAACAAGCAAAAATTATCAGCTAGCAAAGATTTGAAATTTATGTCTACTGTTATAATCAGTTGACTCCCTATTGGAGTTAGAGTTTTTAACCATTTTTAGTGTTCTGCCTATTAGATCTATCTTGAAAACTATTATAGATAGATAGCCACTTTAAATAGCAAAATTGATCAACAAGACTATTCTAGTCCACAATTTTGGAGAGTGTTCCTTTTGGAAGATACACATAGACCTAGGTGAGAACACAGACTCTTTAGAGCCTCTAGTTCTCTGAAATGTATTAGCTGTTAAATTACAAAAATCATTTACCATAACCGAGAAAAATATGAGTTATGCCTCTTTGATTACCGTTTTAAAATGCGTTTAGCTGCTTAGGGTGATCAAAGCTCGCAAATGTTTATAGAAACGTTATCTTGGTCTAACCAGTTTTACATCAAACATACATACCAGAGAGAATTCTGGGTTGAAGTAAGTTTTTCTTTAAGGATTACAGTTACCTCGACAACGGATGGTTTGTATTTTGAATTAAAACTCAGTAATTTTGGAAAAAGACTTCCAAATCGAAAAACGACCCGAAAAAATGCAGAAATGTTATTATTGGAGTCTTAAGAACTGGATAAAATTTATATCAATTTAGTCACTTTCTAGCATGACAAATCAGTTCGAAATTTTAGTCATTGGAAAATAAACACAAATGATGAGTTTCCATTGGCATTTATGATAAAGTAATCTTTAATCAGGATACATATGTTTTGTTCACTGGTACTGAAGAAAGCAATCTTGAGGTTTATGAAATGACATTTACGTTTTGTTATATATTTTACTTAGACTATAGAAGAAACAAAAAGGATGGCGAATTAAGCTTATTGCTATATCCCCTTTAATGCTGGAGATCACAATTACACATGTTTACATTGTCCACACAGTATAATATGCTCATTACTGAAGACCGATACTTCTGTTGACCAAAAGTAAATACAAATCAGTTTGCCATGATTGTTTTTGGCATAAAAGTCATGACGTTTGCATCTAAGATATGTGATTGTTCATTTTTGTCGAGCCTGCGACTTTTGTCGCAGAAAGCTCGACATAGGGATAGTGATCCGGCGGCGGCGTTAGCTAACTTCTTAAAATCTTTATATTTTAGAAGGTGGAAGACCTGGATGCTTCATACTTTGTATATTAATGCCTTATGTTACGAAGTTTCTGTCTGTCACATGTCCATTGTCCTTGACCTCATTTTCATGGTTCAGTGACGACTTGAAAAAAAAAGTTGTGATTTTTTGTAATGTTAATTTCTCTCTTATTATGAGTAATAGGATAACTATATTTGGTCTGTGCTTACCTATCAAGGTCCTCATGCCCGTCAGACAGTTTTCACTTGACCTCGACCTCATTTCATGGATTAGTGAACAAGGTTAAGTTTTGGTGGTCAAGTCCATATCTCAGATACTTTAAGCAATAGGTCTAGTATATTTGGTGTATGGAATGATTGTAAGGTGTACATGTCCAACTGGCAGGTGTCATCTGACTTTGACCTCATTTTCATGGTTCAGTGGTCAAAGTTAAGTTTTTGAGTTTTGGTCATTTTTCTTATACTATATGCAATAGGTGAACTATATTTGGTGTATGGAAATATTTTAGGATGTACATGTCTGTCTCGCAGGTTTTATCTGACCATGACCTGATTTTCACAGTTCATTGCTCAGTGTTAAAATTTGGTGTTTTGGTCTATTTTTGTTCAACTATAAGCAATAGGTCAACTATATTTGGTGTATGGAATGTTTATAAGGTGTTTATGTCTGTCAGCCAGGTATCATATGACCTTAACCCCTTTTACATGGCTCATTGGTCAATATTAAGTTTTAATGCTGAACTTTGTTTCTTAGAAAATATAAGCAATAGGTCAACTATATTTGGTGTATGAATGATTGTAAGGCGTATCTGTCTGTCTGGCAGGGTTCATATGACCTTGACCTTATTCACATGGTTCATAGGTCAATTTTAGTTTTTTGGGAAGTACATGTTTGCACTTTTTGCAATTCCTGTTATTAAAGTGAAAGAGACAACAATGTAAAATTAATGCAATTCAAATACTTTTTGTGAAAAATATCAAAAATAAAGAAATAACTTTTGCAGTTATAATGTTCATAATGAGAAGGTCACCTATTTTATTTTAGTCTCGCCTCTACAAAGTTGAAAAAGCGAGACATAGGTATGCTGTTTCTGGCTGCGGCGGGGTCAACAATGTATTATTTTGTGATCAGGTCAGTTTATAGGGAACCACTAGTGGTGGGTCAATGATATTTGGTATGAAGTTGTATAAGCATAAGCACATCTCATTTCCATGGAGATTATTTGGCTCCGCCCTTCAGTCATGGTCTTGACTATGAATGTTTTGCACAGATTACAAGTTAAAGTTTGTGATTAGATCAGTTTAAGACGAACCATTAATGTTAAGTCAGTTATATGTGGTATTCAGTTGTATTAGCATTTTCAAGTCTCATTTCGCTGAAGATTATATGGCCCAGCCCCCTCAACAAGGTCAACTGACTTTGAAACCTTTCCATCATTTACAAGCCTGTGAAAGTATGTGTTTTGGATAGTTTAAAGGTAACTACTTATGATAAGTCAATGGTATTTGACATGCAGTGTTATAAGCATTTGCATTTCTCTTTTCCATGGAGGTTATTTGGCCCTGCACCTTCAGACATGGTTTATTGACTTGAATGTTTTGTATAGATTACAATTTAAAATATTACCATTTTAATTTCAACATTTGTATTACACTATCAAAATTGCAAAAAGGCGAGACATATCTCTGTGTCAACAGATAGTTTATTATATAAATACTCAATTTGAACAGAACATTTATAGCATTATACTAATTATACACATTTAAATGAAATAATCTGTACAAGTAAATAAATTATGATAGAAATAATTACTAGTATTCTTGATATACATAATAAAAGTATAATATATATATATATATATATATGTGTTTGTGTTTACATTTAACCGTTTAAGTGTTAGTAATTTTCATCCAGAAAATCTTGAATGGCGGTATTCACTTCATCAGCTTTATCAATGTGTGGCCAATGTCCAGCCTCATCTAAAATTTTGATTTTCATTTTTGGTAAATATTTTCTGTTCATTTCTGCTAGTTCAGTATCGAGAAATGAATCACCAGCACCCCAGATAATCAGGGATGGAATGTCGATCTCTGTTGATACTGTATCACAAAATTTTCTGTAACTCAATGCAGCTTTGTACAAGTTCAGTTGCTTTGAAAACCCTAAAACGGAAAGTATACAAAAATAGAAAAATGTAGAAATCAAGTGATCTGTATTAGCTGTATAAACCGATACTTGCTTTAATACAACGATAATATGATGACTGGTAAGATTTACTTGTAACTTAACAATGTTCCTACACTGATATTGCCGAATAAATCTGCATTTTTGACAACAATTTCTTACAGATGCACATCTAAATATCCTTTTTTTTTAAATATCTTGACCTTATCCAACATACCATGTTTTGAATACATATAACGGTAAGCTTGTATTTCGTCATCAGTTACAGCACTGCCCAGTCTACCTCCACACATACATCGTAGAAATTCATAATCAAACACCCGAAGGAGAATGTCAGGAAGATAATGGACCTGGAACAGCACCATATACCTAGAAAACAAATATTGTTATATTTATTGTCTAATAAGCAACGTCTGTCAACCTATTCAGAGTTGAGGACTGTTTCTGTGTAGAAAGTAGAATGTTTATATTAGAGAACTCTTGCATGATACCAACATTTGAAGTCTAATTTTCAGTATAAAGAGAGGCGACTTTTACCACAATAGTTGCTTATAAATCATATCCTAATTCATGTCGATTGATTCTTCTTCATTTCTTACCAGACCAGTATATTCAATCAAAAAATCTTCCTGCCCTTACCCAACCCCCGAAAATCAATTGGTTGTCTTCTTATGTATGATGATACTCATATAATGCTCCCAAATAGTTACTGGCTTTTGAAGAAAGTTCCTTGGACTTGGTGTTCTGTATATATTTCTTTATCGAAGTACAGATGTGCTGTTTACTATGATGACCAAAAGATCATATGGGTGATGAATAAATGATAAAGATAACACATCTTAGAACTGCTAGATGCAAGTTAGAGTAAATACTGTATTGCAATTTGGTGTACAAGTGTTGCTTGCTGAAGTCCGGTGTCAAATATTTTATGCATATTTAGAACGATAACAAATACAACAAAAAAAGCCGGCATTATACAAAGGGCAAGGCATTTTGTCTTGCAACTGGGCAGTCGCATAAAGACCCTGAGAAGTTGTTAAAAAAGTGCTTTCCCATGCAAAGCGCGCTACTCTCTCCTATAACAAGAGGTATGATTTAATGTACTTATTCCACCCTGATGCGATTGTGTGTCAAAGTAGTCGGACAGAGGACCGACACCTTCTCAGTCGTATCTTGTTGGGAATATAAATACGAAGATGTGGTATAAGTGCCAATAAGACAACTCTCCATCCAAGTCACAATGTATAAAAAGTTAACAATTATAGGTCACAGTACGGCCTTCAACACGGAGCCTTGGCTCACACCGAACAGCAAGCTATAAAGGGCCCCAACATGAGTAGTGTAAAACAATTCAAACAGGAAAACTAACGGTTTAATCTATATGAGAAACGAGAAACATCTATGAACCACACCAACAACGACAACCACTGAACAACAAGCTTCTGACTTTGAACAGGTGCATAAAAATGCAGCGGGTTTAAACGTTTTATCAGGCGCCAACCTTCACCCTAACGTGAGACAGTAGCGTAACATTACAACATAAAAAGACACACTATAAAATATCAATTGAAATGGCTTAAATCGATCAAAAAGACATTTAAACAAAAACAAGTAAACATACACTGAACGAATAAGTTTGATCTATGACACAATATGAATACAATATTAAAACGTAGGTGCCTATATAACATAGACGTTACAGGTAGTAATAAAACAGATATAGGAAGAGTGTCAATAAGACAACTCTTACCTGGCACAAAATTGCGTTAAATAAAACATCGTACACAGATAAATTTAAATATAATAATTTTGTTGTTACGAGTACGGAAGTACACATTTTTTACAAAATTAATAAATTTGTTGTTCAGAGTACGAGTACAGAAGTGAAAATTTATCGTCATACTTAATACTTATCAAAGGTGGTACATATTAAAAATAGTGAGACGAGATATAAAACAAAATAAGTAAACATTGAATTACAGAAATGCATTACAAATTGTGTCAACAGGTCAAACTACACGAAAGTACGATTGAGAGTACTCTCAGTTACTGAAAGCTAGTTAAAAGCAATAAAACAATTAACAATAAAAAATCATGCATCAGAGACTTAAACCAATTAAAACACATCCCAGGGATTTAGTGTTTTAACGCCATGGACAGTCAAAGAAGACATGGCATGTGCAATGCCAAAATAAAAGTATCGACAGGCAGTAGGATCGTTAGGATTTAACCTTATAATAAATATGTATCATGTTATCTATAGATAAAGCAATCTCTAGAAAGAAAATTAACGTGGATGTGTATATATACATCCCAAAAATCATTCGAAAAGAATACAAATTTAGTTATGTTTTAATTTTTTGATGACAAAATCGATGTTAGTGCCAATGTAAACAATATTCAAAGATCTTATTACAAAATTAAAAAGATAACCTTTACTAATAAGTTTGTTTAAAGGGTCGATGAGTTTACACGGATCACATAGTGATTTCCGCGCTTTTAGTACAATATTACCGTAAAATTTAGGATCTGAAATACCGTTTTAATAAGTTTTCAACAGGTACAGCCAAATTTACTAATCAAATCTTTGTATCTACGAAAGAATTAGTAAATGTTTTTAGTAATTTATGGTAGCGAAATCTCTGACTTAATGATTTACAAGTGATGCATTGATTACGTTCGTTAAAATCTATGATATCACTACACATGGTCATACCGAACGAGTTGGGATATATAAACACCGTATGATGGAGCCAAAGGAACATCGCCGTCTAAAAAAGGAAAATTAACAATAGGGAATGGAAAATCGTCTCTTTTGTCGTAAATTTTAGTATGGAGATTCCCTTTAGAAATTGAAATGTCTAAATCTAGAAAAGGACAACTAATGCTGTTTATGTTAGATTTATTTAAAGTAAGTCTCTTTGTGTAAATTTCGGTAGTCTGGATTATTTAACGAAAAAATAGCATCGAGATAACCGTATGTATTGTTAAATGTGTCAAACAAATGTAACAATGACGTGTCTTTACTGAGTTTGGTCATAAACTGTGATTCATAGCAATACAGGGATAAATCTGCTATTACAGGGGCGCAATTAGTGCCCATAGGAATACCTACTACCTGTCGATACAATTTATCGCCGAAACGTACATATATGTTGTCCAGGAGAAAATTTAAAGCTTCAATCATATCTTCACATTTCTAGTAGGTGTATCTAGCATACTTTCCTTTTTCGTTACAGAAAAAAGGCTTTAAACGAGTTACAGCAAATCAATTTGAAATGAGATTTTTCAAAAGACCATTTCATTAAATATGAAAAAATTTTCTTGATAAGATTGTATGGAAGTGTTGTGTAGGGAGTAGTAAATCATAACTGAATTAAAAGGGAACTCTAGAAGTCTGGGTGACCATGTTTCAAAACCTAAAGTAACCCTTGTTGGTGCTTGTAGTATGAAGTGGTTCAATAGTTTTTAGCTTACTTCGTTATTTTCGTTTTCCCTAAAATTCGACAGCGTTGTTGACAACAGTTTTACATGATCGTTTGATTACTCATCCTAAAGACCTTATAGAATTAAGAGTGTGGTGAAAGCGAGACCATATATATCACATGCATATATAAAAAATATTCATTGCTCCTAAGTCTTCGTTCCTGGAACTTCCGGCATTTAGTTAGTTTAAAGTAATGTATAATTCATTGAAAAAGTAAAAAAAAAAAAAAAAAAAAAACAGTTACCAAGACTTTGCTTTCTGTGACTTTCTTGTTTTAACTGCTTCTAAAAACGCTGCAGGATGTGGAGAATTCAAAATAATCAATTTATCAACTAACTCTGGAAATTTTGTAGCAACATGATACGCTACTGTTCCTCCGAAGTCATGGGCTACCAATATACACGACTTGTAATCTGAAAAAAAAAATCTTCATGAACAAATGTGTATAAGAATTTATAATTGATCAAAGTCTACTCGAAATAGCATATGTGTATGGTATCATGTTATGTTCAATCATAGTGCAACAAATTTCAGAGGTCATACAATATCCTGGAAGGACCCGATTTGGACATTTTGTTTACCGTCAACATCATAACCTGATGTGGTCATTATACGAGACCCAGGTTTGCTTCGTTTTAAAGTCACAAATTAATGAAAGCTAACGGATTTAAACAATTTTCGTGGTCAGAAAATGAGGTCATAGCCAGATGAACCGTGCCAGATGGACATGAACATTTGTTGTATACGCCAAATATAGTTGCTTATAGGAATTGAAATCCAGGCCCAACCAAGAAAACTTAACGTTGATAACTATGTTAAAATCAGATGAACCCTGTCTTACGGACATGTATACCTTGTGAAGATTCAATATATCAAATACTGTTGTCTAAATACTCATTATAACTGCAAAAAATAAAGTAATAAAAAACGATGCAGTTTTTAAAAGCGGACATTTAACCATGCAAATGAGGTATATATGACACCTGACATATGTCATCCGTTGCGGTGAATACTAATTTTTATCAGGTCAATGCGTCAGGCATATTATCTTAATTTTCTTGCGTAATACGGTTTCGAACTAGACAATCCGTTTGGAGGAAAGACTGTACAAGGTATACTAAACCTAACAAAACTAAAACCCGTTTAGAGGCAATAAATACACCTAAATTTTATTGAAAACGTATAAAAAGCTTGGGGATTTTTTATTGCGTTCATTTGCTTGTATTTCGGCGTGTGCAAAATTATACCAAAAAAAATCAAATAAACGAAAACAAATTAAAGTAATAGTATCTTTTTTCTCACAAAATCTTGGATTGAAATGCTAAAATCTTCCAAGCACACACCACTCATCACTACCATTTTGACATGACCCAATTATTTCGTCCTAAGCAGATTAATACAAATATTTAGGTGCGAAAAGTATTTTTTGTTTCTTCTACACACGAACATCTTTTTTTATCCCAAATCGCCATTTTGACAATTCCATTAAATGTTTAGATCTGAGGCGATCAGTTTTAGTAGATTCGATAATTTTTAAAGAAAAATTCTGAACGTTTAGGCCTTTTTTGTTTATTTGGTCATTTCCCCTTTTACAGATAACGGTAGATAAGGTTTCATGGTAGCCACATTCCAGCAAGCTGTGTGTTCATTTTCGCGTAGGATAAAAATTTTGTGGAGAAAAAAATCTAATTTCAGAAACACGCATTTTAACAGAATAAGAACACAGGTGGAATACTATACTTTGTCTCATTCCAAACTGTACGTTTTGAAGAGAAAATGTATTAGAATGTACTGAATTGTAATGGAAAATATTACTCGAAAATATTACCCGATGACCCTCAACTGTTTTGCACAGTATATATAAACATCAGCAATATCTTACTTAAAGCTCGTACAAGGTTGGAAATGTCTTCTCTTATTTTCGAAGTTAAGTAAGCAGTGATTTCTGTTGGTTTGTCAGAATCTCCAAATCCTTTCAAGTCTATAGCAACTGTTCTGTTAAATAAATAAATTGTATAATATGGTTAACCAAAAGCTTTGGATACCTGAACTAGCATTCTGTAGCGAGCGCATTTTGATCCTGCTTTACAAATTATGTACCTTTTTTATTTCCTTGATTAAGTTGGTAATCCTGTTGGTAGCTGCACTGAACAAGGTTTTTTTTATTGAATGCTTTAAATGCATCATGATTTTACGTAATGGAAAGAAAATTATTAACAACACAACTTCTAGTTCATTGGCACTCATACCACATCTTCTTATATCTATATACCATGTTTACAACATGTGGGCTAGATAGGCAACAGAGAGGAGGTGCACGCACTAAGACATCGATAGGCAATAAAGAGGAGGTGCACGCACTAAGACATCGATAGGCAATAAAGAGGAGGTGCACGCACTAAGCCATCACATTTATGTGCCTGCATCAGGTCGGACTATATGTATCATGTGCTGTACGTTGTTGTCTGTCTTTGTAAGTCTTTCCGGGAAATAGATAGCAAACGAAATAATTGCCTGATTATCTGCTGCGTGTGAACTTCATAATATATAACGTATTTTCAGGACAACAAATATCATACGTAGGATCCAAATCTCGGGTATCTGGAGAAGGTTTGTTTTTCTGTAACAATAAGCATGCTGTATTATGTCCTGTCATCAAATTTGCTGATACTCATCAGCATTTCAACAGGTCACCAGTTAACCCTGGACGTAAGAAGTAGTTTTTTTATCTTTAAGAACAGTAAAAACATAAGATACAGTGTATGTAAATCAAGAACATATGAAATCAATAGTGTTTTTAAAATGTTATGAAAGTTCACTTAACTAGTTTGAACACCCAGGGTTGACTAGGAATATTGCCCTTTATGAGTGTCTTGGGTGGGTCTTTATTTATATGTATTTCTCAACTTTTCTTGATTCTTTATTGTTTTGCCCTTTGATTCTCTATTCTGTTAACCCCATTCAGACTTTACTTTATGGGCGTTAAAGAGTAGCAACAAATTTTATGATGATCTGACATAATCACAGCTGTTCTATTTGGTAAATATAAATATATTTTCTATGTATAAAACAGTATGTCTTCGACGAATGTCTTTCATGAGAAACATCTGTTTTTGTTTAAATATAGGCATGTAAAGAATGGTGCAGATTTCCGTTGCAACGACACGTATTTCTTCATATGCATGAATATATTTAAGAGATACATATTTCCCTTTATATTTTTCTTGTTATATACACTACATCTTTTACTGAATATTTTGTATCCTGCCCATATCTCTGACTGAATACTGTGTATCCTACCCATATCTCTGACTGAATACTTTTTATCCTACCCATATCTCTTACTGAATACTTTATATTCTACCCATATCTCTGACTGAATACGGTTAATCCTATCTATATCTCTTACTGAATACTTTATATTCTACCCATATCTCTAACTGAATACTTTGTATCCTACCCATATCTCTAACTGAATACTTTGTATCCTACCCATATCTCTGACTGAACACTTTGTATCCTATCCATATCTCTGACTAAATACTTTGTATCCTACCTATATCTCTGACTGAATACTGTGTATCCTACCTATATCTCTGACTGAATACTTTGTATCCTACCTATATCTCTGACTGAATACTTTGTATCTTACCTATATCTCTGACTGAACACTTTGTATCCTACCTTTATCTCTGACTAAATACTGTTAATCCTACCTATATCTCTTACTGAATACTTTGTATCCTACCTATATCTCTGACTGAATACTCTTTATCATAACTATATCTCTGAGTGAATACTTTGTATCCTACCTATATCTCTGACTGAACACTTTGTATCCTATCTATATCTCTGACTAAATACTGTTAATCCTACCCATATCTCTGAGTGAATACTTTGTATCCTACCTATATACCTCTGACTGAACACTTTGTATCCTACCTATATCTCTGACTAAATACTGTTAATCCTTCCCATATCTCTGAGTGAATACTTTGTATCCTACCTATATACCTCTGACTGAACACTTTGTATCTTACCTATATCTCTGAATAAATACTGTTAATCCTACCCATATCTCTGAGTGAATACTTTGTATCCTACCTATATCTCTGAGTGAATACTTTGTATCCTACCTATATCTCTGACTGAATACTTTGTATCCTACCTCTATCTCTTACTAAATACTTTGTATCCTACCTATATCTCTTACTAAATACTTTGTATCCTACCCATATCTCTGAGTGAATACTTTGTATCCTACCTATATCTCTGACTGAATACTTTGTATCCTACCTATATCTCTAACTGAATACTTTGTATCCTACCTACATCTCTGAGTGAATACTTTGTATCCTACCTATATCTCTGAGTGAATACTTTGTATCCTACCTATATCTCTAACTGAATACTTTGTATCCTACCCATATCTATGACTGAATACTTTGTATCCTACCTATATTTCTGATTGAGTACTATATAACATACCTATATCTTCGACTGAATTCTTTAATTTGATGTCTCCACGCAAACCAGAAGTCAGGAAAACCATGTAGGAACAACATCAGTGGTTTGTCATTATTTCCTTTACTAACGCAATGCCATTTAACATCCTAGAAATTATATAAAATATGTTAATGAGAGTCGCTCTTCTTTTTGATAATAAGAGCATAATGTCTTTTCAGCATCTGCTTCTCATCTATTTCGTGTGTGAATATTATTCATCATTAACAAAAACACAAATACCTCACTAGAAATTTTCTTATTATTAGCATATTTTTTTTAAATTATTGTAGAATCATACTGTACATCATACACTCAAATAATTTGCTTTAGAATACAATTAGGGGTTGTTTTTTTAATATTCTGGAAGGATGGGGCGCAGGAGGATTTTTAAATGAATATTCTCGTCTATTGAGAACTAAAAATAAACAAACTTGCTCAAAACAGAATGAAAATAAACAGTTTACCAAAGTATATGCCGGATATAAATGTGTATAAAAGTGAAAATTGAAAATAAGTTTTTGACCGGTAAAGCCAGAAAATTAGTCGCTCCAAACAATGTGAATGACTAAGAGCCAACGTCGCTCATCGCATTTCTATGCAAGTTGTTTAATTACATCAAAGTAACAAAACTAATATTGTCTCTTATGGTTGAATCTTCCAACCCCACCCCTCCCCTCCCCTTAAAAACTGCCAAACTCCTCAGTACTAATACCCAGACTGACAGACAATTATCCTCTCAAACTGAGAAGGCTATCAGCAACTGTAAATGGTACTCATATGTTATCAACACACGCTTGGTAACACAATAAAAATCGTTTTACTGTGTTGCACTTTCATGTAGATAACAATTCTATTTCACAATTTCTATGAATAGAATAGAATAGAATATTTTATTTACCAAATTAGGGCCCCAGGAGGACATATAGCATACAAACAATATTATTATAAACAATTCTATGTTATTATTGGTATATAATCAGACAATAGATTTGAGTAAAGATTGCGTTAAAATCAATATGATATTAATGTTCACGAACACTTTTATGACAAATATATCCTTTCTAAATTCATTTTCGGGTTCAGTAACATTATTTTTAGTTATATGACACAAAATGCGACCTTACAGAGAACAGGTCGTGAAGCAAAGATTACCACCACCAGTTCTGAGGATCACGAATTAGGGACTGTGAAAGAAAAATGTCGTGCCGGAAACAGACTTTCGGATATTCCAAATGCATCAATTCAAGACAAATTGTACGCTATCCGAAATTATTTGTCTTCAATTCCTTCAATTTCTAGTCTTGTTTGTGTGTATGCGCACCAACAAGAATGAGTGAAATGAAAGTTAAACTTTCATTTCATGGACACATACGACAGTGGGAAAACTGGTTACCAAAGAATCTCGCTTCAAAATAGAACTTTTCAATGTTTGAAGCGTTCTTCAACTATCAGTGACCTCTGTGGATAGTAAACTAGGAATTGATAGTAAACCGTAAATACATATTATTTCTATTCTATTTATGATAAAACGACATTAGCTACGAGATATAACAAAATTAAAATATGATTTTTTTTTGTTTTGTTCAATCACTAAAGAAAGTGAAATAATGAAATAATAATTCGCTTTTAGCAACCATTTTGGTTCAATTTTGTCGAAATAAGCCAAGAAACATCGCTGATGAATTATTCACTTGCAAGTGAATAATTCGGCCTCATTGAATTCGTATTCATGTGACCTTCAATTCAACCCCTTACCTAGAGATGGGTTACGCATAAGCTAGGCGTGGAAAATGAGGGCAAGTTGGATGGAACAGAAATTTGTTTTGCAGCAGGCCACCCATAAGGATCCCTCATAAAGTTGTTGCCAATGGTTCTTTCACCTGCAGATGCTATACCCAAGTCAACCCTTGGGGTGACAGAATGTGAAGTTCAAATACCGCTATCATATATAAACACCGATTCCATTAAATAAAATTGATTTACCTATGTCGAACTATTTGTGCGAGGGGGTCAAATTTAGCACAAATTCACAACTTGAGTAATATAATAATTGATCTATTGATACCTAAATTTTGCAGATGGTGTTTATAAAAAGGGATTTCCACTATTTTGACAAGAAATGTTAGAAACGTGTCTAAAACGTACATGTGTAAACAATACAACAGATGTTTGTCTAAAACATGCACGTTAAAGGCTGGCCTATGAAATTATAAAATATATGCTCTTAATTAGTTTCTAATTGCAGGCAAAGTTTGGTAATAGTCTAAGATGAATATTTAAATGATAAAGGTTATATGCTTAAATTGACCTTTGGAATTCTTGATATAAACTCGTGAATTGCTCACCTGGCTAACGAATGCCCTTGATAACATGTACGTTTTAGACACGTTTCTAACATTTCTTGTCAACATAGTGGAAATCCCTTTTTATAAACACCATCTGCAAAATTTAGGTATCAATAGATCAATTATTATATTACTCAAGTTGTGAATTTGTGCTAAATTTGACCCCCTCGCACAAATAGTTCGACATAGGTAAATCAATTTTATTTAAGTGATCACTCCCTCTTTTAATTTTATTTAAGTGATCACTCCCTCTTAATTGAAAAGGGGAGATATTTTAAAATCCCAAGAGAGGAACGACTTTGTCATAAATGTAAAATACTAGAGGATGAGAAACATTTTTTACTCTATTGTGATTATAATAAAACACTAAGAAATGCCTTTTTGAACACATATGTACTGAAAATAATAACTTTAATAATTTAAATGAAGAAGAAAAAATTCATTATTTACTAAATCCATCAACGCCTTTACAAACAAATAAGTTAGGATCCTTCTTGAAAAAGTCATTAGAACTGAGGGCAAGGGACTCTTAACAACTTGTTTGTTTTTATAAATTTTGATGCTGTTTTTATTGTGTTTGTTTGATATGTATGTATATATGTTTATTGTGTTAATACATGTTGGTCACAAACTGTAAAGTTTATAAGACAATAAAATATTTGATTTGATTTGATTTGATTTGATAACCATGACTTTTCTAAAATTACCTGACCAATAGATTGAATACCCATTCTTATCTTGCTTGTTTCTTGCAGTAAAGTTTGATTACTTTGCGGAAATTTTGTATCGCCAAATACAATTAAAAGAGATTATGTCAATATCCTCTGAATTGTTAAAAAACAATTTCAAGCGTTATTAAAAAAGTATAACAAAAATACCGAACTCCAAGGTAAATTCAAAAAGGAATTCCATAAAAACTGACAAAATCAAACGTTAGACTTTATCAACCAACGTAACGAATGGAAAACAACTGTCATATTCCTGACTTGGTAAAGGCATTTTCCGAACAAAATTCGGGTCACAGCTTTATCTTATGTGTATTTTGAGATTCTTAACCTAAACCAAAACTCCATTGGAAATAAAGGTACATATTTTGTTTTAATACCAAATCGTTTTGTTTAAGATTGCAATCCTATTATAAAAAATTTAACAAAAAATTGTGATGTTTCAAAATTGTCCTCATCATTAAAGAGTTAAAACCTGTTTTTACATCTGGTTTTGTTTAGTAACTCCTTCTTATATTCGTAAATTCCTATTCTCCAAATTTAAGTTTTGACAACAAAAATGTCATTTCATCGTGGTTCATGAAAATTTGGTCGAAATTAATCAAAAGATTTTATATGAGAGAGAGCATTTAGCACAGCCATAGATTTATAAACCCATATCTATGGGTTTATAGATCTATGGTACAGCAGATAAGTATTTAGCACGTGCATGTTTGATTATCTAATTTTCTTCATGACCTGCATGTTAGTTTTACTACTTACTTTATTGATTATTCTCCAAACAATGTACAAGTGTTTCGGTTATTGAGTACCACTTAAGTCAACACCAGGGGAGATTATTTATTAGGTGTGGGCATATCGGCTTTTACTAGAAACATTTCAGCACCTGTCAAGGTGAAAAATACCATCAACACTTTTAATAAATCAGATTTCCAGATTGTCTCTATTACACACACCGCATATCCCTATTTCTCTTAATATGTCGTGTCATATTAGAACATTGTCTGGAATATTCTCATGTCGGGACTTCATTCTGAGCAATACTTTGAAAAAAAAATTAAAATTGTGAGCACACTGAACCTATCGAACTGAAAAAAGAAGCATTTAATTCTTATAATTACAATTTCATTTAAATGCAATATTTAAGAAATAGCTAGTTACGTGGTTTGTTTTAAATATATTCATACGCATTTTTGAAATGTGTCAACAAGAGCACATGCAGTCAGGTATATATTGCGTTTTACATCGCTTTAAAACACCCGAGGTATTTTCATAGACATAAATTGATCTGACGTCCGCGATGGCATGTTTTTAGCGATTTGAAATCTTGGACCTTATTTTTTACTCAAAAAATAATATTCAGTTCAAAGTTTACTACTTTTTTAAATATAAAATTAACCATTTTTGAATCTTTTGAAGTTGGAAATCTTTGTTCTGGTAAAGGGAATAAGCCCATTGAAACCATCAGTGCACTTCCCCCTTTCCCGAAAGCGGTTTGCTTCACTAATTATAAGTATCAAGGTGCGTCAATTTCTACGTATATATAGACCTAAATACACACATATGCTAAGTAAAAAGGCACCAAATGCCATTTTTAAAATCTGAATTGACCCGTTTGGGTGATTGAATCTTTAAACTTTCGCAATCGCCTCCCTGACAGGGTTGACCTTGGCAAATCATTTCTCACGAGTAAATGCATCAATATTTACTAGATCAAAAGATTTTTTCATTTCCTTCCCAGCAGATAACATATTTTCTTTTTCAAGTGGATACAGGGAAGAACCAATAATCTATATATATAATGTAGGATAGTCATTTTCATTTACAATAGTACTAATTAAAATCGTTAATATTATATTTAGTACACCATTTGATAGATTGTACAATAAATGGTAGACCATGCCAAATAGTCAATTACACTTTTCTTTTAAAGACCTGTTAATTAAACCGTGTTTTCAAAAATATTAAAAAATTAAAAACATAAAATTACAAACTTTTCAATGCAAGTTAACGAAAAATTTAGACGAAAAGCTATTTTTATTAGATCTCTTGATAGATACATGTAAATAGTCTATTTTTTCTTAAAATGCATTGAAAAGTTCGCGTTTCATTCCAATAATTTCTGGAACTATGGCCGGTTTGGATAAGAAAATACGGATTGTCAAACAGAAATTACCAAACACACACAAAAAATCCCAATCTTGACGTTCATATAATCCCTCTTTCAAGGCAACATTATTCTTTCGCTATATAAAGATGAATCTTATTACACAATTACTTTCATATAATATTCGAAAAATTCATCGGGGAAAAGACTTAAGAGTGATCACAAATATAATCTCTTCATTCAAGTGTGTAGTACTATTCGATATTTTTAACTAAAACTGATCAATCTCAACTTTCTACGAAAATCTTTATATAAACATCTGTTTATTTTACACCAGGCCTTGCTTTCTGGTTACTTAAGTCTTGATAAACCTATCTATGTTATTGCAATTTTACTCTTCAGGGATTGAAATTTTTTTTTTGGCCCTGCAAATTTTAGGGAAATATGTGACATTTTTGCACTACTTTTTTTGCACAATTTTATAGCAAATAAATGCATATTGTTGCCATCAGGAGCGGATTCAGATGGGGGCGCCCGGCACGCGCCCCACCTGAGAAAGGGGGAAATGTCATTTATAGGTAAAATTACAACCATTTTTTATCAAAATATGTTTATCTAACTCCTAATTCTTATTGAATAGCGCCCCTAACATCAAATCCTGGGTCCAGCAGACTCTGAGCCAGCAGATACAGCAAAAATAATTTATATTTCACTTTTTTAACCACTGGAATTAAAAATTTATGGGAAATACTGATAGCATAGAATAGAATAGAATAGAATAGAATATTTTTATTTCCCAAATCACAGGGCCCATAAAGGGCATAAAATCAGATACAATTGATTTCCATAATTGGTAACAAAAACAATAATAGTCACTTGAAAATATATATTTAGTATATTAGCATAAGATAAGATAAGATAAGATAAGAATTTTATTAATCTAATCAAGAACCCATAAAGGGCATCATTTACAACAATATTAAGCACAATATGATTGGAAAAAAGAAAAACAGCATACATATGCATATATAATCATATATATATATATATATATATATATGACACAAACAGTATAAGCTTAATTTGTAAGGAAGCAAGGAAAAGAGGATGGTAAAATTTATGAGGTTCGATTAAAATTGTTTTTGCTAACTGCATATTGGTACCTAAGGATAAAACGTTCCCGGACCCATAATATAAACAAACAATAAAACTGTTTAAATACCTTTAAATAGTGTCTGAAGAAACAAAAACTATATGGTCCTTCCAATGCTTGTTCCTCTCGGAATTCACAACAAAAAAATCAACAATAAATCATACTCCCTTTTATTGGCAAATTGCCTGAGTAATTTTTAGATTTTTTGTAAAGTGTTTAGTGCGCAATACACACACAAACACTCACAAGAAAATAACTTTTGAAGTAACATTTTGTAATAGTGACTGTCCGTATGATATTGTAAGAACTGCTTAACTTATTCCACTGCAGATATATAAATATTTTATGTGACGACTTGCTTACCTTAAGTTGTATAAATTCATGCGAACCAAAACTTTCATCTAATAGACACTCCGGGCGAGTACATGGTGGCTTCTTGTTCAATCGACGCAAATATTGAATAGGATGCCCAACACACTTCCATAATAATTTAAATATCACACAAATTGCATAATTTAAGCCGACAATTTGATACACATATTTCTGAATGCCAGTCATACTAGACTTATATTAAAAATGTACTTCTAAAATGGTATATATTGATATATTACATCCATCCTATCGGACGATTCATTAAATAGTGCACGTTATCTCTCAAACTCGCAGATGTCTCTACAAGATAGAATAATCCAATACAGATTCCATTCTGGTACAAAGTTTTGTAGTTCGTCGGAAGAATAAATCAATATGCATGTATTGTGTGAATATAAATAGTTTTTTTCTAAGTATCCCTAAGGACAATGAATTATGTCTTCCTACATTAATTATGATGGGTTAATTTATTTTACCCGTCGTGAACATTCTTTATAGACACGTGTTGTTATGGTTATTATTCTGATGTATATTTGTTGTATGTTAAAATCATGTATCCATTGACCTGGAAAGATATGAAATGCACATGTGGCGAAGAATTGTATTTCCACTGTAGTTTTATGAAGAAGTAAGAAAATCATTCGAATTGCTTATTTTATATTGATAAAATCCGAGATTGCCCCAGCTGACGTCTGACGGCCTGACCCACGGCCCCAAATTTAAAGGTTTCTTTATCGATATTAGTAGCGAAGGAACAATCCGATACATTAACGTAAATATTTACAAGTCACATCAATACAACTTAATTATATATAAAAATGTATTGTTATAATAAGATATTAGTTAACTCAAGTCACATCAATACAACTTAATTATATATAAAAATGTATTGTTATAATAAGATATTACTTAACTCTTTATTTTAGACACTCCAATAAACACTTGAATGTCAAGATGTAGCTGTAATTAAATTTAACTGCCCATTATGTTACCTCATAATCTAATCGACTGCATTTTTTGCGTAATCTTCAGTTAAAAAGAAGAGGGATCGATGGGAAAGAAAGGGGGGTTGGGGGGGGGGGGGGGGGGGGGGCACATCAACCTTTCTTTGGTAGGGGTGAGCAGCTAAGACATCAAGTACCCCACCCTTTTCATATATTGTGTTTATCAAAAATATATACCCTGTCTGTCATATATCAATTAAAATTTTGTTTGAAAATATATATTTGGATATTTTTCATCTTCTCGTACATTAGTATAGCGATTTTTTTTAAGTCCGGCTCATCATCACGTTCGTGCGTCATGTGTGTTTAGTAGCATCACAGTCACAATAATCACACCTTGCCTTTCCAATAAATTCGTCACATCTTAAATAGTTTCCTCTATTTACCCCTTTTTTGTCTTTCATTATGAAGAAAATTTAATTTCAATTGACAATACTTATAAAATATGATTGGTTAGATAGTAAGACCCTAGTGAATAACACTTTCAGTTTTATATAAAATGAAAACTGATAAAAAGTTACATTGCCGTTCCCTCTTAAAGGACGCTGACACTATGGAATTTCTTTTAATAATTGTTATCATGTTTCATGTATACAAACCTTTGAATGTTAATTAGGTGCAAATGTTAAAATAATCGGATTTATAGCATCTATAACTAGCATCAGTGAAAATACCACATAAGTGGAAGATAAATAGAGATTAAATGGTTTGACAAATAGCTCATGCATTTATGACTGGTTTAACCGCACCAGAAATAAATACTGACATCTGATTAGTTTCAGATACTTATGATATAATCAAGCAAGTGATAATATCAACCTAAAGTCAAAGTCAAAGATTTTATTGATATATTTAATCTGAATTTCTCACCCTTTTCGTATATCATGGAGCATGAAATCGGGAAGTATAAAATTAAAAAAAGCGATATTTTATTTCCCAAACTATTATTTTGCACTAAGTCTTGTCATTTATGTAAAACTATCCATCATGCAATTAGTCATATTTGCAGAAAAGCATACAATTCAATAAGATTAAGAATTTGATTGACAACTTTAGAATTTTAATTGGTAAAAGATTTCAGAACTAAACGTTCGTAATTCTTTTTTATACGAAAGGCTTTTTATTCAAGTAACGACATCAACTCGCCCAAACCATTATTATATATATACAGGTTTTAGACGTTCGCTATAAGAATTTTATTATTAATCTAATCAAGAACCCATAAAGGGCATCATTTACAACAATATTAAGCACAATATGATTGGAAAAAAGAAAAACTATATCTTAATATAATACTATCATATATTGGACAGGATCAGAGCCTAACACATCATGTGTCTTACATAACATTAACAATAATTGCATAATAATTTTATATATTTTGTATCCACCTGGATCTTATTTCTAAACACTTAATTATATAATTGCCTAGGCACATAAGAGTTGGTAAATGCTCATTTGTGAACAGCCAGAAATATTTTTTATCCTTGGGTAATTCTTTAAAATTATTACAAAAACTGTTTACTTTATCCCATAATAATTTTCTCTGTTCGTTATATAAAGGACAACTTACTGTGAAATGGGTCTCATCTTCAATAGAATTTGATCCATGTGATAGGCAGTGATGACATAGACGCTGACTTCTCTCTATGTATTTTTTACTATACCTATCTTTCTCAATTTTAAGATCATGTGCACTTATTCTCAATTTACATATAGCTCTTCTTATATTAAAATCTTTAATTGATAAATAAGCCTCCTTTACGAAGTCAGTCTTGAGGTTGAAATAATTTTCTAATTTACTATTACCTTGTGATAAGGTATCAGATCTTTTGACCCCCCAAAATGTTTTAAAACTGTTACAAAGTTTACATTTTACAAATTTAATTAATCTATTGAGCTTTGTATTCAAATTTTGTATATCAAGTGATTGAAGGACATATCTCATAGATGAATACCAACAATTAATGTTTCCTGCATCTAAAATTTTATTACAAACATAAGCATCATAAAGTAACCCATCGTCCAATTTGTTAAGCCTGTGTACATATTTTACCATAGATATAATGACAGAAAAATAAAGAGGAAATCTTGCAACCTCTGATAACACTGCCAAATTTGAGGCTTTTTTATTTACACCAAGAATATATTTTAGATACCTGAAATGTGATTTTTCCAAATAATCATTTATGTAAATTAATTCAAATAGATAATCACTTTTTTTCTTGCAAGCAGCAGAGTTAATCTTAAAGGTACCCCAGATTTCACTACAATATAATAAAATTGGTTTTATTGTGTGATCATATAAATGGATTGCAGTATCAATACTTGGATTACAAGCTGACATGGATTTTTGTAGTTTAAATTTTGCCTTTAAGGACTTTTTGAATAGCTCTTCTTTCCCCTGCTGAAAAAGACCACTGGAAGTAAAGACTATCCCTAAATATTTATATCTGTTAACACATTCTATAGCCTCATTATCTAAACAAAGTGATTCCTTCAAAAATTTTCCAGGCTTGTTAAAAATTAAAACTTTTGTTTTGGACAAGTTAACATCTAGACACCAATCAATACAATAAGTTTGCAGGTTATCAAGTCGGGTTTGCAGACCCTGTTTAGTGTTTGATAATATAATAATGTCATCGGCGTACATAAGACAATCAATTCTACGCCCATTGATATAAACAGCATCTGGACTCGACTCAAATCTTGGAGGCAGATCGTTAATGAAAAGCTTAAATAAATTTGGGCTTAGAACATCCCCTTGCCTAACCCCAACTAGCGAGCTGAAAGATGGCGTTAGTACATTACCCACTTTCACCGACATTTCATTTTTTCTGTACATGTCTTTTAAAATAGTATAAAATTTTCCAGATATGTTATTTTCCAATAATTTGTATCTAATACCACAGTGTATGACCCTATCAAAAGCCTTTTTAAAGTCCACAAAGCAAGCATAAATTTTCCCCCCTTTTCTGTTAGTATATTTATCTAATATGGTTTTTAAAACAAACATATGGTCAGATGTTCTGCTCTTTTTTGAGAAACCAACCTGACATGGATGAATTATATTATTTTTATCAAGATGAATGTCAAGTCTTTTATTAAGAATACTGTTAAATAATTTTCCAATGCATGAATTAATTGCTATGCCTCTGTAATTTTCAGGTTTACTAGGACTCCCTGCTTTAAAAATTGGACATATATAAGACAATGACCATTTGCGAGGGTATGTTCCAGAGCAGAATATCAAGTTAAAAAGTTTCTGCAAAACAGGTGCAAATATACTACCCCCTGATTTTAATATCTCGTTTGGGATACCATCTAGTCCTGCAGCTTTATTATTCTTTAGTTTATTTATAGCATCCAAAATTTCTTTTAGGGTTATTTTGTAATCCAGTTCACAAAAAGTTGGATTATTTTCTAAATTTTTTACTTTCTTGTTAATTTCCTCTAATCTGTCTTTAAATTTGTCAGAGTTGAGATTTAAAGATTGAATATAAATATAATGATAAGTCAATTGTTTGTTGTTACACCAAGTGTTGGGAATTTATCTTAACCCTTCGGGTCAGGTGAGCTAGTAATGAGATGGTGCATTGATAAGTTTCTGTTGCAGTTAAAGTTATCTAATCAGAACCAGATATGCATGTGTTCTTTAATTTGACGTCAGAGGTCATTTCAAAAGTTGAAAACCTTCCTGCAATTGCACAAATCAATAACAGCAATAAATGCACCGACACTTTGATATAAATCTTTTCTAGATCATCTTTGGAATATCTTCTAATGCAGGTGTCTATCCTATATCCGTTTTCCTTTTCTCAAGTGGTATAGAATTCTCTTCGTCAAGTTTAGCCATCCTTCTTGCCAAATACTAGTGCATACTGGTAAAGTTATCTCACAAGTTGAACTAATAAAGTATTATATTTGGCGAAAGAACTGAGGACCCCGTTTCATAATGAATTACCTTTAGACGTTTTTATCAGTTTTGACAGTCCTGAGTGGCTAAATGAAATTCATGCCGGATTACATCGATTTTATGGATAAAACAAAGTTGGTTCAGACTTTTTATATTAATTAAAAATAATTCCCACCATGGCTACAATAGCTTGTTACATTTGATGGCAGTCCAGATGCAAATTAAATGCATGCATATGGACGGGAACATGTTAATGTGATATGATGTAGTAGACGGACACGTTGATATGGATTTTAAAGTGCTATAGTTCACAAGGTAACAGTCCGTATGACGACATATCACCCTACCCGGACACATAATTCGACTCCGGGACAATTAGTCTGTTTTTTATTTCTAAATTTCTAAATGCCGCATTCTTATCAAAGAAGCGGCAAATACCGATTTTCAGGGCTTTGGTTTGACCCGACCTGGGATCCGACCCACGACCCCCCGAACTAGGGGGAGCACGCTACCTTGAGACCATCAACGCAGTGTGTTAAATATATAGAAAAAAATCTCATTATACGGTATATATATATGGAATACGTTTTAAA